CAAGTCCAGGAAGCACAGAGGGTCCCAAACAAGAGGAACCCAAAGAGGCCCACAGCAAGACACATCATAATTAAAATGCCAAAGGTTAAAGACAAAGAGAGAATCTTAAAGCAGCAAGAGAAAAGCAGTTAGTTACCTACAAGGGAGCTCCCATACTACTGTCAGCTGATTTCTCAACAAAAACCTTGCAGGCCAGAAGGGAGTGGCAAGAAATATTCAAAGTGATGAAAAACAAAAACCTACAACCAAGATTACTCTACCCAGCAAAGCTATCATTTAGAATTGAAGGTCAGATAAAGAGCTTCACAGACAAGGAAAAGCTAGAGTTCATCACCACCAGACCAGTACTACATGAAATGTTGAAACATCTCCTTTAAGAAGCTAATGAACGAACAAAAGAATCTGATAAACTAAATAGACCCAGGGACATTGACGCATGCAACAGACGATCATATTTCAGAGGGAAGAGGGAAGGGGGAGTGGAGGGTGGAAAGAGATTAACCAAAGAAGTTATATGCATATATGCATAACCCATGGACACAGACATTAACGGGGTGAAGGCCTAGGGAGGGGGTGGGAGTGAGGTGGAGGGGGTCGATTGGGGGGAAAAATGGGACACCTGTAAAATTTCAACAATAAAGATAAATTTTTTAAAAAAGTATCCAGCTCAGCCAGGCGTGGCTCAGTGGTTGTTCACCAACCTATGATCCAGGAGATGGTGGTTCGATTCCTGGTCAGGGTACATGCCTGGGTTGCAGGCTCAATCCCCACTTGGGGGTGTGCAGCAGGCAGCCAATCAATGACTCATCATAGATGTTTCTACCTCTCTCTCTCTCTCTCTCTCCCCCTTCCTCTCTCTGAAGTCAATAAAGATATATTTTTTAAAAAGAAAAGAAAAATTATCCAAAACTTAAAAATAAGGCAAAAGATATGCCCTTTCAGTATCACATTAGACCAGTATCTAGCCAGCCTGTCTAAGGGCTGTCAGACACAACAAAGAAGGTTTTGTTGTTTGACTCATTGTTTATTATTGATTAATATTCAGACCCTTAAAGTTAGATGCTAACTTGTAGAAGACTGAAAAGTTGCAAATTATTTCTACCTAGGAGAAGAGATAATCCCCAAAGTTACGGTTTGATTGTCCTTTGGACATTTACTAGGTTACTATCTAATTTTGCAATCTTACTTCAGCATTCTTTTCCCACTATCTATATATCTGTTTCTTATATCTGCTTTGAACCGGCTTGTCAAGCTTGCTTACCTCTCATTAATGTCTTAGTACATCTTTGACATACGTGTGTTGATTATACTTTTAGGAGAATTGTGGTGTGTTTTTTATTTTATGTAGGAGAAGTTCAGCCCCTTTTTCTTTTTTTAGAATTGTGTTTAAGTTTTTTAAAATTACACTTTGAAAGTTGGCTTTATTCCAAATATGTTTTGTGTAAAAGTGGTGGGGATTTTTGCTTTTATGAGAAAATAATTCTGAGATTCAGTCTTATACATTCATTTTTTGAAACATTACTGGACCAATGATTTTTAGTGTCCTTTAATATATGACAATTTAGGCTTTAATATAAAATATGTATAATTTCAGAGTTTGAACTAGGAGCCTTAGGAAAATACCACAGTTTTTGACATGGTGAATAAATCATATGGTTTGTTTTTGTCCTGATGGAGGGAATCCCTGGCAGAAGATTAATTCCCTCTGGCTCTTTCTTAAATTCTGCATCCTGTTTATAAGTGCTGAACTTAGCTTTAACTTTCATTTGAGTAGAACCAGTATTTTAATAATTTTTAACATTGCTATTTCCACCAAAAGGAAAAGGAGATGGAATTTTCATAGGGCTTGTGTCGAATCTGTTTGGAGAATATTGCTATCTTAACAATATTAAACTTTCCAATAGAAAGAATATGGGATGTCTTATTTTTTTTTTACATATTCTTTAGTTTCTTTCAGTGATGTTTTGCAGTTTTCAGCGTACAAGCCTTGCACATATTTTGTTAATGTATTCCTGTGTAGAAATAATTCACTTAAGTGTATTCTGAAACTTGCTGAACTAGTTTTAGTTCTAGTAGGGTTTTTTGCATGTGTGTGTGTGCAGATTCGTCAGGGTTTTCTATATGCAGGATAATACCATCTGTAAATAGAGGTTATGTCATTTACAAATAGAAATTATCCCTTTCCAACCTGGATACCTTTTATTTCTTTTTCTTGTCTAATTTCCCTCACTAAAACTTACAGTACCATGTTGAACAAAGTGAAGAGAGGGGACATCTTTGTTTTTGTGGACTCAGAAGGGATGTACAG